ATCACACACACCGCACCCAATATAGATTTCACCCACCGCGAACGTATTAACCACTTTTTCACCTTAGAGACAATGGCTAAAAGATTCTCGGGATCTGATTTCATAATACGATCGAATTCAACGAACTTGCCAGGGCGGAAGAAAACTTTCTTCACGCCAAACTTGAAATCCTTTGAGCTAAGATTAAGCGATTGTAACATAGCTTCGCAGAAAGTGCGCGGTGGTAACTTGACCAATTCGGGTGGCAGGACCGATTTATACATATTGTAGAGATCGGCGAATGGCACACGTGATGGATAACCATGCTCCATAAGCTCCAGCACGGAAATAGTGCCAGAGCATTTAAGCTGTGCAAGTGCTAGCCCACCCTCGAAATCACGATCTATCATTTTGCTGTTAGGCTTAATGCAGCGTATAAAATTAGTGCCCTTAAAAATTAAATCATTATACATTCGTTTTGCTATTTATTTTGCATTAAAACAGTGCTTACATTCTTCTCCAATTTCTCCATCAACTCAGCCAGTTGGCTTTTGAATTTCGAGCCCACAGAAATGAAATTCAATTTGCCGCGCAACGCGGTGTTACTACCAGAAGGAAATAGTGTTTTCAGCAACGGATTTTCGCACTCCTGCACCAAACCCTCCAAGGAAGCATGCAATGCATCATTGTTTTTCTCTATAAATTGTTCCTGCAAAGCATCAACAAAATGTTAAAAACAATTAAATACATGCCATCCCACGCCTTAACAAACATGCCACACCTACCGTATTGTAACAGACAGCGCCGGCAAAGTGACGCACAAGGAAACCATCTTCATCTCTTAGCGTGCGATGCGCCTTCAAGCGCGATGAACGCGGCAAGCCCAAGCGGAAATGGTTTGACCACGCCTTATGCACCTCGGCCGTGAAGTGTTGTGCCGATGGCTTTGGCAACTTTGACTCCTCATCCAATAGAGTATAAATACCGTTTGCTTTCGCTTCAATTAAATCGATAATATCCTGATTATCGGTGAATGTGATTTCCGGCACATTCAATCCCTCACTTTTGTACAGCTCTTGCTCGTTCTTAAGAATGTTGTCATTGAAGAATTTTTGCAATTTCTCATTGCAGTAATTAATGCAAAATTGCTCAAACGAATTCACAGTGAAGTACTCGAAACCGGCAATATCCAAGACGCCAATATAGAAATTTGAGACTTGGAAGGGGATGCTTTGATTAATCAGCGCCACGATACGATCAAAAAGGCGGCTGTAGATGGCCTTGGCAAGCGCATCGCGCGCATTGCTGGCCTCATAAATTTTCAAGGGCACCCTGAAATAGCAATAGTAAATTCACAAAACAGGTGTGTAGGTATTGACTTACATTATTACTGTGCCCTTGAAACCGCCACCTNTAATTCTCACATGAAGTGTGTAGGTATTGACTTACATTATTACTGTGCCCTTGAAACCGCCACCTTTGCTTTGCATTACACGCGACACCAGTGCCTGTCTGAGTTCCGATGGATCAACACCCAGCAATTTTGATGTGATGGTGAGAGATTTCTCAGAAGACTCTGAGACTTGACAACCACCTCGTGCGTCATCTGGTATCTCTTCAAACGAAATATTACCCAAATGTAATACGGCAGCCACCAATGAATAAATTTCCAGTTTATTTATTTCACTCAAACCCAATCGACCCAGTGCACGATCGAGATTTTGAAAATGATTATAATCATCGATAATAGGATCCTTCAGGGGACCCTTTTTCACATGACTCTTGGACTTTTGAGCAGCCGGAATAAGTTGCTCTGTCTTCGCGTTGGCAAAATACTGCGTACAGCCAGAGAGATACTGGGGAGAAGGGAAGAAAAAAAAATATACATTAGTTACAGATTATTGAACAGGCAAAAAAAGTTTGTAAAGGGCAAAGAAAGCATTTATCAATGAATTTTTTTTTTTATTTGTTTTAACAACAGAATAACTTTCTACAGTTATTTGTAAAGACATGGTTCTAGTTATTCGGAAAATAGTGTCAATAACAAAGCTTGGATAAAATAGGGAACAACGGCTTTGTCAGAAACGAAACTGACTATAGTAATTCAACATTAAGTTATCTAATGTGTTCCGAAGTTCGTTCAAGAGGTAAATATTTGAACCGATGATTTTCTTCGGTATTTGTATATATTTGCCAGGGCTTATCAGAACAAAGCTAACTTCATTTGCTGTTCATATATTAAGCAATAAAAATATTTACAAATATGCGGGTAGTTTATGTGCTAAGTATATGATACCAGTCAAAATATAAACATTAATATAAGTAAATATCAATAAAAGGTCCAATAAACCGTAAAATGCAGTCAACCACGCATACATATGGACATGGTAATTTTTTTTCACGCAAGTTCTTCCATACAAAGTATATTCGNTGTAATTCAACATTAAGTTATCTAATGTGTTCCGAAGTTCGTTTAAGAGGTAAATATTTGAACCGATGATTTTCTTCGGTATTTGTAAATATTTGCCAGGGCTTATCAGAACAAAGCTAACTTCATTTGCTGTTCATATATTAAGCAATAAAAATATTAACAAATATGCGGGTAGTTTATGTGCTAAGTATATGATACCAGTCAAAATATAAACATTAATATAAGTAAATATCAATAAAAGGTTCAATAAACGCATACATACGGACATGGTAATTTTTTTTCACGCAAGTTCTTCCATACAAAGTATATTCGACAATTACTTTTTGTATGAAGAAAATGAGCAACACCTTCCACTAAAAAAATTGCCGAAAATCAACGCGATTTTCTAGCAACTTTCTAGCAACTTTAAACTTGCATTTTGTCATACTAAAATTGAATGGACTNATGGAGAAAATGAGCAACACCTTCCACTAAAAAAATTGCCGAAAATCAACGCGATTTTCTAGCAACTTTCTAGCAACTTTAAACTTGCATTTTNCTTTTTGTATGAAGAAAATGAGCAACACCTTCCACTAAAAAAATTGCCGAAAATCAACGCGATTTTCTAGCAACTTTCTAGCAACTTTAAACTTGCATTTTGTCATACTAAAATTGAATGGACTATAAAACTGCATACTTATAATTTTTCTAAAAGATCTGAAAAGAAAGTTGCAAATTAGTGTGCAAATTTATGGAATTTTCCTTAGTTTTGCACAAAGTTTAGAGATTTTATTTTTATGTTTTTAGTTGTAAAATGAACTATATTTTTATAAAAAATTATCGAAAATAAATTAGANTTAAAAGATCTGAATAGAAAGTTGCAAATTAGTACGCAAATTTATGGAATTTTCGTGAGTTTTGCACAAAGTTTAGAGATTTTATTTTTATGTTTTATGTTGTACAATGAACTATATTTTTATAAAAAATTATCGAAAATAAATTAGAATAAAAAATTTTGCATACATTGCGAAAAATTCACTGTGCCAATACTTTTGTTCGTCACTGTACATGCGTATTCAACCGTAATAAATACGGTTTTTCAAAATATCTCCACCCTGGCGCCACCTAGCGAGGCCATTTATCGTAAAAATGTTTCAGCTTACATAACCAGTACATGTATATTANCATATTATAAAAAGCAGCCAAATGGGCCCATAAATAAATTCGATATATGATTTAATTTTTTTTTTCGTGGTAGACATCCGCAGAAAACGCCCATATGTATGTACATATGTCTTTAAANTATATTATAAAAAGCAGCCAAATGGGCCCAGAAATAAATTCGATATATGATTTAATTTTTTTTTCGTGGTAGACATCCGCAGAAAACGCCCATATGTATGTACATATGTCTTTAAATGCAACTAAATAATATCGAAAGCGTTTTAATAATTTTATTGCGCCCTTTACTCACCCGATAATCATCTGGTTTACCAAGATTCAGCTTATCACGCAGCTGTTGCGGTGCACCTGCTAGCAACATAAAGAATACATGATAGTTGCGTTCCTCAGAACTTTGCGTACAAATACGACTCTTCTCCAGCAGATAGTGTGATATATAACCGCCAACCACTTGGCACTTGGCATCATAGTGCACTTCAATGAATTTGCCGAAACGGGAGGAATTGTTGTTACGCGTAGTTTTTGCATTACCAAAAGCCTCAAGTACGGGATTGGCTATAATAAACAGATAAAATAGATAGTATTTAAATATCAAAGGTTGGTTACATACAACGACTCTTATTAAATTTTAAATTTCACTTACCATCTAAAATTTTCTGTTCAATGGGACCGGCACTATCGCTGGAATGACATAAATATTTAAGCAAATACTTGGTAGATTCTGTTTTGCCAGCACCCGATTCGCCAGATACGATAATAGATTGTGACGATTTGAGTACGCGCATATCACGTATAGCCTTATCAGCTGCAAAAATTACAAGAGAATGTACAGACGTAAATATGAGCTTTTGTACAGCAGAGGGTTTCTTGTTATTGTACAAAATTTTTTATTTTACCTATAGCAAACACATGTGGCGGCAGTTCGCCCAAGGAACGTCCAGTATACGTTTTAATTGTAGCTGAAGAGTAGAGATCAGTGATTTCACGATATGGATTCACAGCAATGAGTATATTGGCCACATAAGTCTAGGAGTAGATTGAAAGAGATGATATTTTAAGTGCATTTGGCAATACAGAAATACTGGAAAACCACATAAAATTTGACTGAAAATTTCCATAATTTTGAATGAGAATGAGCAAATACTTCTACTAAAAGTTTGAGTACAGTTTATTTCAGCCAAATAATGACGAACCATGTATGGAACGCATTTACCTTGATTGAGTCTATGTATGTACATTAGAGTGGTCCAAAATAATAAAGTCGGAATTTTAATGCCGCCACCTCCAGGATTGTTCTGAACCGAAAATAAATATACCCCTATTTTTTTATTTTGAAATCAAAAAATATTTACAGGCTAACCTAATATTCACGCACGCCGCCAATTTACTGTCAAAAATTTCTCATGCACATACAACTTGTATTCGAGCAACCGAAATTGAACGGCGCGCGTATGAAGCTAACTCAATTTCCAATTTTTGTTCTGCGTGACATTTTGATTTGACATTTCGCTCAATGAAATTAAATGCAAACGCACGCAAGCCATTTTCGGGTGACGCAAAACAAAAAATTCTACGGCGAGCGTACCAAAACGCAAGCCGCGAATATTAGGTTAGCCTGTTAGGGAGTGCTCACAGCGCTCAAAGTTTTCCATGTATTTTATATGGGGAAGAAACCTATTTTCGTAGAAATGGTATAAAACTCTTGAAAATCAATATTTTTCAATCGTAAAACTGTGGTTCTCTTCAGGAGACTTCAGACATTAATATCCAATTGTTTATTTAACCATTTTTTATGATTAAAGATTTTTTATTGGTCCCCCCATTGCATTTTCTAGGACCTATAAAATATAGTTACCATGAAAAAATTGTTAGAGGAACAATTGGGTATTATTACTGGGAATCTCCTGAAGATAAGCAACATTTTCCAATCGAAAAATATTGACTTGCAAGAATTCTACACTATTTCTACGAAAAGTTGTTTTATCCCCTTATAAAATACATTGAAAACTTTGAGCGCTTTGAGCACTCCCTAAATTTTTTTTTATTTCAAAATAAAAAAATAGGGGTATATTTTTTGTCGGCATAGAACAATCTTAGGGGGTGGCGGCATTAAAAATGCGACCTTATTTCTTTTTACATACATTTTTGGACCACTTTAATGTACATATGTAAATAATCCTAAAGTTTATTGCTGTAAATACGACAGACATGTCCACTGGATATTAAATGACAAAATTTTTAATAACAAAAATGGTCATTAATTAACATCGGTGTCGTTACGATATTACCAGGCCTATTCTGAAAGTTCTCAACATTTTGTAGTCGAAAATTTTCAAAATTTTAATAACAAAACTGAAACGGAAACTACAATTGCCGGTTACAAAGTAGAGATGCCGTTTTTACATCGATTAATCGAGCCCTTCCGATTCAATTTTTTAGTTTCGATTCGATCGGTGAATCGATTAAAACAAAAATCGATAATCGAAATTCGATTTTTCCCCAATTGATGCATACTGGTTTACCTCAGAAAATCTATAAAATTTTATTTGGAGACAGGTACAAAAAAAATATGGGACCCTCATTTCCCTCTTTTCTAACTTGAGAGAGCAAAGACCAAATAATTCAATGAACTCTATATAAAATTATGGCTAATACTATAACAAAAACTCCAAAAATCGGAATTTTCATAAAAATTGAGCACTTTTTAATTACTTCTTTTAAAATTTAAATAAAACAAAAAAAAAAACAAAAAAGCGTCCGTATTGCAAAAAAAATCTACATATATACGTAAGCTCATAATCAGAGGTGGTCCCATACTAATTTGGTTTAGATACGATCATTGGATCATGATCTTTCTTAAAAGCGTTGTATTAAATAAGCACTTTTTTATGTTTTATTGAGACGAAAACGAAACGCTAAGCAAAACAAACAATCGGTAGATACCAGATCTTTCACTATTTTTTTATTATTTAAAATTAATTTGAAAGTCGTGTGAATTTTTCTAGTGATATATTTCGGGACCCGCGAGACCCACGGTAAAAGTATGAAAAACGTCCGGAAGGGCGGGTGAGGGACTTAAAAAATGAATTTCGGGATGGGAGGGATCGGGATTGAATATTTAGTCCCGTGTCCATCCCTAATACATACCTTTCTGTTTTTAAGGTTATATGCCCTGAAAACCATACTTTTAGAGTATTCTGAATAGTAGATAAATCTTAAAGAATTCGTAAACAAATCATTATTTCCCTTTCCGAATTTTCTAAGGTGAAATATATTGTAATGTCATAAGAAAATCGGTAAGGCAATAAAAATAATACCGCGATGTAAAGTTATTTTTTCCGAATTTTCTTATCATTTGGACTTTTTTCTTTGAGTTACAAAGCTGGAAAGTATTCGAGAAATGGACTTAAAATTTGTACCATCTATACTTGTTGCAATAGATTGTTTTTCAGTATTTATAGTATTTCAAGAAACTAAGCTTTAAGTACTTATGCGACGAGAGGTAAAATAACTGCAAGTCCTGAGACGCACTCCAGGCCATTACTTCTCGCAGTCCTGCTTTTATGAGGCTGAGCCTTAAAAGCTTTCTGACATGATGTTTTGTCAAGGCTGCATATCAGTATCCTCTGGAGCTGCGGAGCCGTTACGACCGGAGTGAAGCTTTCAAATTGCTATACATACATGAAAATGATCATACAACAAACTTTTCCAGAAGCGGTTTCGAGCTGAAAGTAAAGATGTTTTTGATTTTGAATTTAATTTTTCAGCTTCGTGACGCTTCAACTAATCTTTTGAATAAAATTGAGTATTTGCCACTTTTCTTTGACGATAAGTTTTGGGGTATCTTTGCAGCCGAGTCCATGAGAAAAGCTCTGCTTCGCCTCGTTCGTTGAGAACACCTGAAGGTTCGCTTCGCCCCGCCTTTCTTTGCAGAGCCACCGATCGGCTTTCTGTGTGAACGCACCCTCAATGGCTTCCATTACCGTTTATAAATACACACCTTCCCTTCTACTCTTTTCCTTCATTTCTAATTTCTAATACAATTATTTCTTTATGAAAACATAAAACATGGTTCGCCATACTTGGCGAAAGCTGTCCTTTTTTACCTTCCTTTTATTAACTGGGGATGTAACTATGTAATATTGATGCGCCTAAATGACGCAGCGATTTCTATTCTCAAGTGGCATACCTGATGACAGTACGAATGGCAATTATAATAGGGAGGTTTTAGTTTTTTAAACTATAATTTTATTTAAGTGAAAGTCTTCTAACTCAATCTATATTACTTGCAAGAGCTTTAGTGTTGGGAGCAGTAACTGAAAACATTCGCTCCTCCTTTTGAATTAAGTTTTAAATATAAACTGTTTATCCTACTGGCGTGCATCTTGATTATTCCTAAAACTTGAATGTTCTAAAATTTTATATCGTCTCCGAATGAGATACACTTTTGGGGAGTATCATTTCAAAACGAAAATGGGAAACTAGACTCACTGCCTATATCGCGCTTATGTTTTTTTATATAAATCAATAGAGCTATTCATTCTTATTGGTAAATTTAGCATACTTGTAAATATATCTTTCTTAAGTACTTACATAAATTTTGTCTTTATAATAACGCGTTTTTAAATTATCCAAAAACGTTGCTTCATTCAGCAGCATAAGTTCACCTGAAAAGTAAAAAAATGCATATATGGATAAGGAAAAACATATGTATAGGGTATGATATACAAAAGAGGTGGCACAAAAAATTTACCCTTTTCGAAGATGGAAAAACTTTTGCTAATGGCGTCGAGTGTCAATACATTTATGATATTCTTAACCCTCTGCGACTGACGTGGTACTCTGACAGACACCGAAGGTTCGACATTTTTTCCGAGAATTCAATAGCATTGATTACTAAAAACGCCTATTTTTCGTCATATATTTTATTTATATGACAATTTCATTAATGAGTACTTAAAATATTGATAGAATTTTCAGTCTAAATCGAAAAAAGTTTATTCATAAATATCTAATATATATTTTTTGATCTGGAAAATTGGTGTCTGAGAGATTACACGTTAATATAATGGGGAAACTTCGGTCACGTTAGTAGCAGAGGGTTAAAGTAACAACCATATTCAGGGCTATCACGGAATCCATCGTAGAAAATCTACGAATTCGAATGCCTGCTACGAATACGAAAAAATTGCTATAACTGAATCGGAGTAAACTCGAAAATATCGTTGTCAGATTTGTATGCTGTGTGCTACGTTGCACAGCAGTCGCAATGGCCGAGTGGGCAAAGCACTAGACCGCCAATTGAGAGACCCGAGTTCGAGTACGAGTCGGCGGGCAACAACGGATCTTTTGTTATTTAATTTTTGTTTATATTTTTTTGTTTTAGTTTAGTTTCATTCTTTTAAAGATAAACATTTTTTTTAATTAATTTAAATATTTTCTTAAAATATTAAATGTTTATGATATTGTTACATTCTTAATAAATTGTTGTTAATGTAATTGTGTGTATTAGCGTTTAGCAGATGAATGTATGTATGAACATTAGGGTGGTCCAGAAACAGTAGAGTCGGAATTGTAATGCTCTCACATCTAGGATTGTTCTATATCGAAAAAAATTAAACCCCTATTTTTTATTTTGAAAACAAAAAATATTTAGAGGTCGCTCAAAGCGCTCAAAGTTTTCCATGTATTTTTATATGGGCAAAATAATTGTTTTCGTAGAAATGGTATAGAATTCCTGAAAGTCAATCGGAAAACTCTGGTTCTCTTCAGGAAACTTTAAAATAATAATACCCAAGTGTTTATTTAGCCATTTTTAATACTAAGGATTTTTTATTGGTTGCCCCATAGCATTTTTTGCGGTTTTTGTGGGGTTTTGGCGGACTTATAAATTATAGTTGCAATGAAAAAATGGTTAAATAAACAATTGGGTATTATTATTGGGAATCTCCAGCAGATAAACAGAAAAATAGTGATTTTCAACTATTCTATACCATTTCTACGAAAAGTTGTTTTTTCCCCATATAAAATACATGGACAACTTTGGGCGCTTTGAGCGACCTCTAAATATTTTTTGATTTCAAAATAAAAAAATAGGGGTATATTTTTTCGGTATAGAACAATTCTAGGGGTCAATCGAAATGGGGTTTAAAAGACTTTATTTCTGAAAAATATTTAGGAAGGTTGCAACATATTTGAAAATCAAACAATTTTTGAATTAAAGCAAATAGGTAATTGAAACACATAAATATGTATAACAATATGAGTGTCAAATGAAGGAGGTTTAAAAAGGTTTTACTTTGAAAATACTTTTAAGGGGGTTGCCACTTGTTTGATAAGTCGAACCTAGGTAACTATTACACAGGTAATATAAAATATTTAAATATGGCTGTCAAATAAAAGCGTGTTAAGAAATGTTTAGATTGGTGGAGTTTCAAGAACGTTGTTTTAAAAAAGATAAATTTAAATTATTAAGTTATGAATTACTAAAAATCGGTATTAATCGAAATGGGTTAGAAAAGGTTTTATTTCAGACCTTGTTTAGGAGGATAGCCATGTGTCGAAAAATCAAATTCATCAGTTAATTAAAATATGTATCACAACCTCAGACGAAAGAGATTGAAAAAGATTTTAGTTTGATAATACTTTCGAAAAGGATTTCCAACTGTTTGAAAAATAGAATTCAGATGACTTATACACAAGTTTTATGAAATATGAGTGTCAATTGAAAGAGACATATGAAAGCTTTAGTTTTAAAATATATTCGCATAGGCTGGCCACCTTTTCGAAAAGTCATATCGATCTAACTAAGTACATATGTATGTATAAGGGAAGGCGTTTTTGTGAAGGTCATTAGATTTGCTCCGCTCTTTGGAATTTCAAAAATTAAGGGCCAAATAAAAACCTTGGTTTGTAGATGTGCGATAAAGCTTTATTTTTGGGAATTGGAACTTTTTTATCAGTACAGGTTGATTTGAAATTTGATGAAAAATTAAAGCGACAATATACGAGACCTCTCTTCACTCAAAAATGGCTGCACGGATTTAGATCCTATAGGACACCGCATCGCTTATAACTTTAATTAACATTTGGAATTTTTTTTGAAATTAAGTTTCGGGCGTTTTAACGCCACGCTTGTTCACTAGTTTTTGTTTATTTGCCTACATAATTGCGTATAATTAGCAAATCGCCAAATGATAAAAAGCAGCTATGAAAAACAAAAAAGGCAGGAAAAGCATTCCCGCACTTTTTAGCTTTTCTCTATTTCTCTGAGTGTAATTTTGCCTTTTGACAGTTTTGCCAGTTCTAACTAATTTTACAGTCTAGCAATATTTTCGAGGCTTTCCCTAAATTTTAGTGAAATAAAAATAAACAAATAAGCAAAAAAAAAACACAAATTTTGTAGAATGCTAATTTTTTACTTTTAACATTATTTTGCACAACTTGTTTTACGACTTTTTAAGCACATATTTTGGTAAACCT